TTGATGTTTGCTTGCTTTCTGTGTGCGCCTTGCGTGTTTCAGAACCCGTACTAACTCCGAATATTGCCCCCCACAGGAGAACGAAATCCTTCTACAAGTCCACGAAGCACCTGCACCCAGAGAAGGCCCAGAACAGAATCGACAAGCTGACGCTCAAAATGTTCATGAAGGGCCGCTTGAAGGCCAAGGCGGCCGAGAGCCGCCACCTTCTACCTCTACTGCCGATGGTGTGCCGTGAAAACGCAGCCCTGCTAGCAGACAAGGCCTTCCTTCTGACTGAAGCATGTGACGCTTTGAACGATTGCCACGACATCATGTACCGAGAGAGGAGGCAAATGTCGGCCGAGGCTGTGCAGCGCCTTCAGCAGTCAATGCTGCGTTTTTTTATTTTTTGGAAGCGATCGGGCGGCAAGAAAATTTTTAAGCACCATGTTGCGGTGCACTTGGTGCAGCGGGTTGCCCAACATGGCAACCCGCGGTACTATTGGTGCTACCCCGACGAGGGTGAGAACCGCCTGATGGCGTCGGTGGCCAAAGCCCTCCACGGAGGCTCCACCTTCTACTACAGGTTCCTGCAACGAGTGCTTCCTGAGAAATGCTAGGGATGGTTAAATCATCCTGTGGTGTTTTTCTTTTCTTTTCTTTATTTTACTACTCTCCCCCTCTCTTCCGACAGTGGCCCTCCGCCCTCCTTCGAGCTCGTCTCCTCCCCGCCCCGCTTGCATGTAGCGGCAGCTTGAGCCATGGCAGGGAGAGAGGGAAAGAACCAGGACGACGGAGGAGGGAGGAGCAGGGGAGAAAAGGGACGATACCACGGAGGAAGGATGCTATACATATGCTGTGGATAAAATTATAACCGATGATCTACATATATATATATATATATATATGTATATTCGTTTCGCAATTTTCGGCGTACGGGCCCCTGGGCACAGGCCGGGAACGGCAGACCGCGCTGTCAAGGCGGCCGCAGCCGCAATGTCCCGCGACGGGGGCGGGTGAGGAAGGAGGGGGATGAGGAGGAGGAGGAGGAGGAGGAGGAGGAGTCACCAAGCTCGAAGAGCTAAGCCACAAATTTTCGGAGGTCCGCGCGGATTTTTGGGGTCGGCGCTGGCGTCCGCCTTTGGCGCCGCCCTTGGCGCGATCCGCGCGCCAGGGGGGTGGGTCCAGCGCGGGGCCCCAAAAAAATCCGCGCGAACTTCCGAAACTTTGCGTTCATCTCCTCCCTCCTCCTCCTCCTCCTCCTCCTCCTCCTCCTCCTCCTCCTCCTCCTCCTCCTCCTCCTCCTCTTCGACCTCCTCCTCCTCCTCCTCCTCCTCCTCCTCCCTCCCTCCTCCTTGTTCCGTCCTCCTCCTCCTCCTCCTCCTCCTCCTCCTCCCTGAGGCCTGGGGACAGCCGAGGAAAACGGGAGAGAAAGAAGATGATGTGATCCCTGCCAGGGTCCGAGTATACGCTTCGGTTTCACATATGTATCACTAGTTTCACCTATGTCTCACCCGAAGTTTCACGTCACCAGAAGTTTCACGTCTCAAGACACAGATCGAAGAGGATGCGCGGCGCAGAGTTCGGAGTGCAAGAGGTCGGCGCGCGTGCTCTATCCTTCACCCGTTGTTCACGTTCTCTGCTGCCTTCCCCTCTGCTTGCGTCCGCCCGACCGTGGGCTACACATGGATACGTGGATTGATTCGTGTTGGGTATAGACAGGCATGCATGTTCTACATGTACAAATATAAAGCGTAGAATACGTTTATACGGGTGTGTGCACGTGTGTATACACGTATCAACGTGTAAAAGACGTATTAATGTTTAATGTGTACGTACCACGTATCATGTACGTATAACGTATAATGTGTACGCACAACATATAAACGCCGAAGGCCGCAATTTCGATCAATGGCTCAATTTCCGTGGTAGCGGAGCCTGGCGCTAATCAGTGTCCACGCCGCCCCAGGCCTCAGGCCGACCCGTTTTCCGAGCCCACGGGCGCTTGTTGATTTCGCAAGCCTCTTGTTGTTGCTCACACCGCTTGTTGTTCTCAAGACCACGCGTCTTGATTTTTTCGAACGTATTGATTTTGAGCGAATGTGTTGATTTTTTTCAATACGCCCCACGACGTTTTGAAAAAATCAACACTTTGGATGTTTGGGATAGCCCTATAGCCCTACAACTCTATAGACCTATAGCTCTATAGCCCTATAGCTCAATATTCATAAGGTTAGGTTAGGTTTGCCGCCGATTTTCGCGGCACGCCCGGGTGCCCGGGGGTGCCCGCGGGTGCCCGGGTGCCTGGGTGCCCGGGTGCCCGGGCGTGCCCGGGGGTGCCTGGGGGTGCCCGGGGGTGCCCTATAGCCCTATAGCCCTACAACTCTATAGCCCTATAGCTCTATAGCCCTATAGCTCAATAGCCCTATAGCCCTATAGCTTCCTAGCCCTATAGCCCTGATTGGGGTTTTTCTCCAGTATCATGGGGAGGTATTTTGGAAGTAGGAAGGGGTTTGGTAAGAGTAAGGCCCCGCCCAGAGGGCCAGTGGGACTAAGGCCGCGACCCCTGCGGAGGGGTGGTAGTGTGAGGATAAGGCCCTCCCCGACGAGGAACAGCAGGTTTTGGAAAAACTGACCCGCCCAAAGGGCCAGTGGGATTTTTAGACTGGGGGCGCGTTTCGGGCTCCAGAACTGTCAAACATCGTCAAACAACTACCCGGGATGAAAAAGCGGTTCTGGGGAAGGTGTCGACAGTTCCAGGTGTCTTCGTCACGTTTGGGGAGTCGTTCCCGCATCCAGCGTCTTTTCAAGCCAGAGGCCAGTCGACTTACAGTATTGTTGGCATCGAGGTGCGCTTTGGGGCACACCAAAGGCACATGTTGCTGCAACCTTCCCAGTCAGGCTCCAAATGCTCGGGTTGGGGTTTGATGCTCTGGCTGTCCAGCATGTGCGTGTCACTGTTTTGTCACACGGGCGCCAGGCCGACGCTGTCATGGCCCCTGCATGTCTGGTCCGCACGGCGCAGTAGCTGCGTGCATCTACGAGGCACGCGTCGCCTCTCAGTGCCGGCTCGCTCTCTGCACGTCGGGGTGCGCTGCCTGGTGGCGGCTCTGCGCCCCAGTCGTCAGGGGCACTTGAGCCGTCGGACAGCCCAGGAAGCCGTCGAGGGAGAGAGGCGCGCGACACTCGGGAGGGTGCACGTCGGCCTGGCTCTCGGTGTCCTTGGCTCTCGCGCTACGTGACTTCCAGCAGTTTACGGCGGGTCAGGTCCCTCCGCCGCGTCCCCCAGGGCGGCTCCCGAGAGAGAGAGAGAGAGAGAGAAAAAGAGAGAGATCGGTTTCGCGCAGGGGGTGGCAGGGGGAGGGGGGGGAATGCTCCTCAGAGGCACCCCTGCTTCTCAGAAGGCGCGGGCCTTGCCTGTAGATGTCAGGCCGGCGCCTTCTCAGGAGCGGCCTGCTTCTAAGACGCCTTCCCCCCTTCCCCTGCCCCCCTCGTGTGCGCCGCCGAAGGTAGAATCCGAGCCCACGCTAGGTGCTCGGTCGCAGCCACCCATCTCTCGCGCAGGAGTACCGCCGAAGACTACCAGACGCCATCGATTGATTAGCACGTGGTCGAATGCGTACGGTCGGACCGATGTCTAGGATCGAGGTCGGCTCGGGGAGGGTACCCTGATGTTGTTCGTGCTTGTTGGACGTTCCTGTTCATCCTGGGGAGGGTACCCTTGGATGTTCTGTGTGTTTTGGCCGACGGAGGGTCTCATGTTCTTGAGGGACGTTGTTCTGGCCTAGGTCCGACTGAAACCCGCGACGTTGCTCGCCCTGGCGGCGCCTCCGGCGCCGCCCCCGGCGCGCTCGGCGCGCCAGGGATGAGGGACCAGCGCGGATCCAAGGAATCCGTGCGGACCTCCAAACGTTGAGAATCATGAATTTGTAATTCAATTTGACGAGCGAGCAACACATATACACACACGCACAGAACACACGCACACAGAAACCCACAAGCTCACAAACACACAAACACACAAAGACACAAACACGCAAACATACATACACACAAGCACGCGCACACGCACATGCACACGCACACACACACATACACACACACACGAACACACACGCATGCAAACGCACACGCATACGCACACGAACGCACACGCACACGCTCACGCTCACGCACACGGGCACGCGCACGCACACGCACACGCACACGCACACGCACACGCACACGCACACGCACACGCACACAGACACGCACACGCACACAGACACAGACACAGACTCAGACACAGACACAGAAACAGACACCGACACAGACACAGACACTCACATACACGAACACACACACACACACACCACACAACACACAACACACAACATACAGCACGCACCACGCAACACACAACACACAACACACAACACACACACACACCACACACCACACACCACACACCACACACACACAACACACCACACCACACACCACACACCACACACCACACACAACACACAACACACACCACACAAAACACAAAACACACACACACACCCACACACCACACACATACGCACACACCCATACACATAGGTGGGTCGTTAGGAGGAGGACTGGCTATGGGTATGGGTGCGGGCTGTCAGACCCCCTGGGGGCGCTCCCGTTCGAGCGGGGACCCCCCATCCGACAACACGCACCCACAGCCCCCTCCGACCTCCCTACGTGTACGGGTGTGTGTGTGTGTGAGTGCTGTTCGTCCGTCGTAGAGCTTTGTGCGTCCTGCACCCTACGCTCTCCAGCCTGGCCGCCCGCCTTCGTTCCCCGCAGGGCAGGCGCGCGCACCTTCGTCGTCGTCGTCGTCGTCGTCGGCGTCGGCGTCGGCGTCGGCGTCGGCGTCGGCGTCGGCGTCGGCGTCGGCGTCGGCGTCGGCGGCGTCGGCGTCGGCGTCGTCGGCGTCGTCGTCGTCGTCCCCGTCGTCGTCGGCGTCGCCGCCGTCGCCGCTGTCGCCGCTGCTCCCCGCCGGGCAG